TTTTTATCTTGAGGTTTATTTAAATCTTGACTTTTCTACTGAATTTTCAAGTGTTATCACCCAAAACTGATTATAAACTCCATGACAACAGAGACCTCTGCCATTGCCTCACAGCCACTGGAGACTCAAGGGCCATGTACAAAGCAGGCACTGAATACACATTGTTGATTTGCTGTGCTTTACAACGTTTTCACTCTTGTAATTACAAAAATAAAACATCTCACTCCCCAAAGGACTGTTAGCAGCCGAGTCTGTCTGCTTGGTGTGAGCTGACGATGTGAACATGAAGGAGACGCAGGCGCCGGGGTGGTCAGGCCAGGTGCCCAGCAAGCCTGGGCGGCGGGAGGCTGCAGCCTTACTGCCCGACGGCGCCTCCGCCTGCTTCTTCTGCCCGCTTTTTAGTGGGAAACATGCACCCACAGGGACAGAAGCAGCTCTTCACGGGAGTTCCCTTCAACACTTCATCAGAGCGTAGGTTTTGTGAGATTGTACCCACAGAGGGACCTTAGAGACGATGACACTGGACGAGAAGCCGTGATGTGCGCTCCGGATCCGTGCCTTTCAACCTCCCCTCCCTCCGTCATTTCTCACCATCAATGGCGCCTTCCTTCCTCCTTCTCCTGAACCACATTTTCCTGCTACGTTAACGTCCACTGCTCTCCTGGCTTTCTCACTGTGCCTTCCTTCCTTCCTTCCGAATCTTCCCTCGCCCTCCTTTCTACCTGCCTCCCTCCCAGCCAGCCCCCCATGCCTCGACTCCCTCTCCCTGCTCTCGGTACTAGTTCATAACATGAGTCAAAAGACGAGCCCACTGCACTGTGACACGGCAAGGACGCTGGTCATGCTGCACTCACAGTGGCTTCAGGGACATAACGGGGGCACAGGCCAGTCTCACGGGAGTTTGGATGTGGAAAGAACAAGCATGAAGCTAAAGAAAACAAACCTAATTCAACTCACGTTGTTTCAAGGTCAGGTGCTTGCCAGGCACTGGATGTACAAAGATGACTCAGTTCCCTCTCTCAGGGCCTAAGATTCGGGGCAGACAGAATCCTGACAAGACCACTGTGTGTCGCTCGGGATGCCAGCAGCAGCCAGAATGACGGATGACAGGCACAGGGGACAGTGTCAGCAGAATGGCACAGGGGTGGCAGGACATTTGAGCTGGCTGGTACTGCTGACAGGGGCACGCAGGCCTCCACGGTCACTGGCTGAGGACACTGGGTGTGCATGCTTGGCACAAACAAAACGAACAAAGTCCTTCCCTTCGGAGGCCTACAGAAGAGTCACAGGGGTAGGTGTGCAGTGAGCACCTTGAATATGTCAACTGAGCGAGGAAGCTCAGGTGAGGAGAGGGGTTCTGGGAGCGGTCGTCATGCCCACATCTCTATGGATGAGCAAGGACTCTTCCTGGGTCATCAGCTACGAAGTGGGTAACAGTGTCTTCATTAGTGAGGGAGGAAGCAGCGCTGCAGCAGGAGGCTGAAGGCCTGAACATGTTAGGTCTCATCTGCTCTGGGTGGGGCAGAGACTGCACCTCACTATCATGTTCAGCTTGTCTCAATGGTACCTGGGCCCCTCAGGGAATGCTCATCAACTGAAAGAGGGCTCTGTCACTCCCAGAGGCCTGTGCCAGCTTCCCTGACTGAGAGTCGAAGCTTCCTGTACCCTCAGCCCCAACCACACCAAGCCTGACGAATGCTGTTAAAAACCCATCAGAAAATACAGGTAGAGAATCATTAGTTGCAACAGGACTTTGGAAATGGAGCAGCTTTGAGGATGGTGCCTGCTAGCCCACACAGGCTCACACCTGAGGAACAGGTGTTCTCTTCCCCAGGGTCCCCGGGAGCCCCCAAGAACGAGGTCTTAGCGCCTCTGGCGCGGGCCCACCTGACTTGCTGTCCGTCCGCGGGTCCATGATGACGAACTCGGGCCGCAGCTTGCTGACGCGCCGCCCCTTGAGGATGGGCACGAGCCCACCCAGGTACTCCAGGTAGAGCGTGTAGCAAGGGCCGCCCACCTCCGGGTCGTCCTCCGTGCGCTTCATGGTGCAGTGCAGACGCTCGTTGCCGGCCGAGGGGTAGCTGACAAAGTCTCGCATGTTGTTGGGGTCTGGAATTGGGGGCTGGAGGCAGGGCAGGGAAGGAAAGGAGAGAGCAGGGGTCACTGGTCACTCTGACAGAGCTGGCTGGCTGCGTGGGGACGGTCATCCACGTGACGTCATCCACGTAATGTCCTGACAGAATTACGAACAGTGATTCGTAATTCTGGGAGCACATCACAATCTCCTGGAGCTTTTAAAAAACCACCTAAGCCAGGATCCCACCTCCGACAATAACACGGGAATCTCCGGGCGTGGCCTGGGACATGGATTTCCTAAAAACACCCCAGGGCGTTACTGTGCAGCCAGAGTTGAGAGTCACTGGTGCAGAAGCAAGACCGCAAAGCAACTTGAAAAGGATCACAGCAGATTCAGAAACTCTGGTGTTTCAGGAAAAAAAGTAACCAACTGGTCCATCTACTACTCAGAAGCAGAGACAGAAGACAGGGAAGAGCCTAAGGTTGGAGGAAACCTACACTTAGACAGCACCTGACAGACACAACCCATACCCTACCACTGAAAACACAGCGGTCTTCACGTTACAATCAGTACAAAGACGGCTGACACCGAGGGCATGGGGGAGGGGTCGCCCCCTCCTCAGCACAGTGGGGGCAATGGCGGCCCAGGGATCAGACCATTCCCGTAACTCGTTATGGAGCAAGTTACTCAATGTCTGGGAATGTGTCTCCTGCTTCCTTAAGTGGGACTAATGGCAGCATCTGCCAGGACGTCAGGATTGAATACGAGAGGGATCGTCAGGACGACACAGCATCAGGCTCAGATCCTGCCGTTGCCATGAGAGAGCTGATGTCCGTCACACGAGGTGGAATTCTGCAGGGCCACACCCTTTTACCACGTGACTGTGCCCCTGCTCAGGGTTGCTCGCCCACCGTCCCTGTCTCTGCGTCCTCTCTGCATGGGTGGGAGGAGGGGGGGAAGGGCAGGGGGCTGTACCTTGATGGTGGGGATGAAGGCAGTGGAGAGGTAGGAGCAGAGGCGAGGGGGCAGGCTCAGCTTGCTGATGTCCTTGTCGTCTCGCAGGGCACTGGCAATGGCCTGCTGGCACAGCAGCTGCAGGCTGGACACCCGGTGCTCCACACGGACCACGTACAGGGCGGGTCCTGATGCCATCAGCAGCCTGGAGTCCCGGTGGCCCCAGCAGATGGAAATGATGGGGCGCTGCCGGGAAGCGAAGGGAGACTACACATAAGCTTTCACTCTTGTAAGCAAAGGAAGATCATGCACGCTGTCTCAAGCAAAATTAACTGACCCAATAGTTTCTGAGAATATCGGTTTTAAAAAGTACAACAGAGAATGTTAAATACTACATTATGAAAATTTAGTATTTTCACTGAAAAGTAGTTAGATCCTCAGGCCAGAGCACGAACAGAACATTAGAATAGTTTTACAAAGTTCTCTTACAGGTATTATCTCACTGAATTGGGTGCCATAAAACCTATCTTAGCTCAGTGTAACGATGTTTCTTCCAGAAGACGCAATCAGCTTGGGGTACAGTAATCCATATCCTCACTAAAGCTCAGGTCATCTGGGTCCCCAAACAATCGGTGGTGGTTCCCATGGATTGGGCAGGTGGTGAGGAGGCAGACTGGACATCCCTTCCCTTTGTCCTGACAGAAAGCATTTCAGAGTGAAATCCACACTGCGTTTGGGGCAGGAGCTGTGTGACCTGAAGACTTACGTAACCCCTGCAAGTGTCCTGCTTTCTCAGGAGTAAAGTGGGAGCTGGGAGGAGGAAAGGAGATGAAGGTGTCAAAGTGGTCGTGGGGCCCCTCACAGGTCAGAACCCACAGATGTTAACTCACCGTTGTTCTCAGCCGTCCTTGAGCTGAGGGGGCAAAGAGAGAAAGTAGAGAGCTATCTGGAAAGGGGCGAGAGAGGGGAACCCGGCTACAGTGGTGGCCTTTCTCAGGGTTTGTGGCCACCATTTGCTTTGAAAAGGCAGACTGACATCTTAAGGTGCAAGTGAGAAACTGCCTGTTCCGGAACCCCCGAGCTCAGGGGTGCCATCCAAGGAAGGGCAGCCGAGGAACAGGAGGTCAGGGCTGTAATAAAGAGGCGGCGAGAGAAGCGCTCATTCTGATCCAGACAGACGGGGTTCTAATTTTATGAGGTCTTGAGGGGTTTCAAAGATCAGAAGTGGGGATACCCAATCTTTTATATGCATGACAGGCAGGAACAGAATTTTCGCAACACTTTAGTGACAAACATCAAGATAAAAGGAACACATGAAGACACTTGCTTAAAATAGCCTCCAGGGTCAGCTAATCCTGGTTTCAACTTGAATACGAACTGCCAGGCTGAAGATAATTCAGCTTCCATTTCATCAAAGCGAGGCTGGGCAGCCGCTGGGCAGGACCATAGCCGCCACCCCCGGAGGGGGACCATGGAGCCTGGAACTTAAGTCTGGGGGCATCCAGAGCACTTCCAAGATGGGCCTCCTTACAAGAGGATCCCACACAGAGGGCAGACCCCACAGAGGGTCCTGCTAATTCAGAGCAAGACTACTCACTGCCAAAGACAGGGCAGGTAACACATAAAAAACACACACAAAATTTTCTTTGGTATCATCAACCCCTGTAAGTGCAGATCAGGACAGAGGTTCTATTAATACCAAAATCATGATTAATCTTAAAGATATACCACCCCACCAACTTCCAGTCTCCTAAAATAATATTTACAACCTAGAGCTCAAGTGGTGAAGAACAGTTTTCAATCAGCACAACCTGACTGGTTGGAACTGGATGCCAAAATGCCAGACACTTCTTTCCTCCAATTTCCCATTACTTTTGGGTCTCTCTACCTGACATGCCAATGGTTACAGCACAGGGACTGTTACATTTCTCTTCCATCCCCTCCCCTCCGCCGACTTCTGCTTTTCAGAGTAACTGCCTCTGTGTAATAGTTGATTACAGGGTTTGGGAGGGTCTTATATAAAATTATCATTGTGATAAGTATGTAACTTTTATAGCTTTGTACAAAGGAACTTAAACCAGGTATACAGACTTTCAAACTGGATAAAAATCCTCTGTTACCTTTATATGTATAATCACTAGGCGTCGTAACAAAAAGAACAATCACGTCTTAAAAACTTCCTACGTCCGACGGCACACTAAGTTACCTTGATAGGCACATGCATCTCATGTAATCCCAAGTCTACCAGGAGGTCTCCGTGCTCTCATTTAACACGGGAGGAACCAGAGCTGGAGGCTGAGTGACTTGGTCACAGGCAGCAGCGGGGGAGCTCCGGTTCTCACCACGCCTCCTGCCACACAGGTGCTCGTCTTACGGCCTCTCTCAAGTGTCACTATAGTGACATAACCTCGTAAAGAACGTGTGATTTCCCACTAAAAAAATTTAACTGTCAATCACAAGTAAAGTAATAAACCCAAATCCTCCCCTCAGTTCTCTCCTGAATCCTTTTGGTCAAGGCTGTTTTGTTTAGAAACAAACAGAACCACCTATCTGTAGAAAAGGCAAACAGACCAGGGCAGAAGCTGCAGAAAGAGCAAATGGATAATGGCTGGGATGATTCATTATGGCAGAAAAGAATCCGCAGGTCATATGGCCCCACGAGGAGAGAGATCAGCCACGCAGCACGGTGAGATGAGCACGGAACAGCAGCAGGAGGCACATCTCATAGGTGAGGAAGGGCTGTCTCCCCCACAGGCAGTGCATCCAGGAGGAAAACAGCATCTCAGCAAGAGGAGTGAGAGGACTGGAAGGGCTGAGAACTAGGCCCCAGCCGGAAAGAGCTGAAATTCTTCAGTCTGGAGAAGTGAGGCCCGCAGGGTCTCGAAGGAAAAACTGGCGTCTGGTGCAAGGTTACCAGGAAATCCCTTCTTCTAAGAGCAGGACAAGAATACATAGTGAGCAATCCGGAGTGCAGCGCTCTGTCACTTGCTCAAGCCAGTGATAGTTTAGTCCAGCACCAGGCAGGGGCGGGTAGCATGCTCATTTCATCTAGTTTTTACAGCATATACTCCCTGCACGACAATAAAGTATAAAATAAATACTGGTACCTTTGCCATAATTCTTAAGGCAGTATTAAAAAATAAGAACTCACAAATAGTGAGAGCGGCCCTCTCGTTTGAAGAGTCTGAGGTATCTCTGATGTGGGGAAACGGGTTACTGTAATGACTGTTGAGTCCAAGTCCGGCGACAGGCCCGCGACCCCTCAGGATCCCTTTAGTCCTGTCGGCCCGTGGAAAGTCCTGTCGTGGGGGATCTAATGCACAGCACGGCGACACAGTCCACAATGCTGTACTATACCCTCGCGAGTTGCTCAGAGAGTAGATCTTAAGTTTCCTCACCACAAAAAAGAAGTGGTAAATATGTGGTGCGAGGTGATGGAGGAGCTGGGTGACACTATGGCAGCGATGGTGCTGCAATATATAATTGCACCGAACTCACATGCTGTATGCCTTCAACTTATTGTGAAATGTCAACATAGCTCAATAAAGCTGGAAAGAGAGAGAGACGAAGAAAGGATAAAATGCCTCACGCGCGGACACGCGCTACTTCTTTTATCCCATCTCATGTCACTTCCTGTTGCTGCTCCGTTTCCTGTGCTGTTTACTGTACTCTAGCCTACAAAGGCCTGGCTACAAAACACTCTGTTGCTGTGGAAATTCAAACAAGAGTCAAAGTGCCCCATGCCGGTGCCTGCAGACACGGGGGTGAGGCTTTACCCAACAATTCCTGCCACCCGGTCCCCTGGGGCCACGGTATGTGTGCCTGCAGCCCTCGCCCTGGCCTCCCTGGGCCACCCACCTCCGGGGATCAGCTGCTGCTGAGGAGAGAGGCACCAAGTGATGCAGCCCAGTAAGACTGGGAGTGCTCACAGGGACACACAAACCCAGTGCCCACAGGTTAATGCTTCTGTTTGAACAGCCGCTGTCTGCTGGGGAAAACTCAGGTGTATATCTCTTTCTCAAATCACACAAAACAACAATTTTTAGGAGTGATGGCCAGAACTGTGAAGTTGGTAACATTCAAATCCTAATTTGCATAGGGAAGTTCACGTATCTTGCGCATCCAAATCGGAGGCAAGGGGGAAGAAAGCATCTGCTTTTCAAGGAGTGTTAGTGAGGTGGCAAGCCAGTGCTTTGGTGAGTGATGCGACAGTGAGAGACCTCGGGGGCCGGAGGGGTGTGTGGGTCACCCACAGGCACGCTCAGAGACACCGCGGGTTCGGAGGGGTGCGTGGGTCACCCACAGGCACGCTCAGAGACACCGCGGGTTCGGAGGGGTGCGTGGGTCACTCACAGGCACGCTCAGAGACACCGCAGGTTCGGAGGGGTGCGTGGGTCACCCACAGGCACGCTCAGAGACACTGCGGGTTCGGGTGCAATAAAGCGAGCACGCAATAAAGCGAGTCAACATCTTTTGCTGGTTGGAGCGTCTTGCCTTGAATTTGTAAAAAGTACAACATCTATGAAGGTCAATAAAATTAAGCACAGTAAAACGAGGCATGCCCACATAGTCAAGTGTCCTCTCCAGAATCTCCCTGTCTCAGTGCCCGTGCTGAGCCGTTTAAAAGGGGTGCAGGTGAGTTTGCTCACATTAGCTGCCACTACAGCGTGGTGGAATGCAACCGTCAATGGCTGGCTTCAACCCCTATGGCACACATGCTAAGTACCTCCTGACCTTATCTCCTGCCACTATACGATACAGGTGCATCCGTCCAATCGTTTGTTCATCTACTGAGCTGTCAGTCAGTCATTTGGTAAACATCTGTTAACTGAGATGCATTCCGGTGTTGGGAGACTGACACTGAATGAGATAGCTCCTGCCCTCGTGGAGCTGGTGTTTTGAGGTGAGGGTTGGGGGAGAGAAATACCTTAGTATCTCTGCACGGACTACTTGACAATGTGAGGTAATAGAAATGCTACGAAGTAAAAACAGAGCAGAATAAGGGGTGAGAGAAAGAGCAAGTGGGTAATTTCAGACAGAGGAGAAGGCAGCTTCAGTGGAGGCCTGACTAAGATGATGGAGCCCATTTATTTTTTTAATTGGAATTGAAAGCTTCCTCACTATATTACTCTTTTTGTATATACAGCAGTGAATTGGATGGAGTCTTCTAAAAATTTAAATGGAATAAAAAGCAGGGTGTCCTTTCTGTAACTAAGATAAGCTATTCAAGCAGGATTAAAGTCAACAGACAACAAAAGGGTCAAAGAGAAAGAAAACTGGCCCAAGAGCAAGGAAACAAGGCTGTCCAAGCTCACGCTTTCTGCTGGTGGGGCCCTCGGGCCGAGGCCTGGCCACGCGGCCCACTCAGGAGTCTCATCCCTGTAAAGGTCACTGCAGCCCGTCCCTCCCTCCTGCAGCTCCCCTGGGAGAAAGGTGGGATCTCTGATTCAGAGGAAATGCACTTCAAATGTCTAACCGCCCCTGGAAGAAGGGGATGTCAAATACACAAGCGTGTGCAAAGAAGGAAAGCTTTCTAGAATAGTTTGCTTTTAAATAGACTAAGGTTTAAACAGACTGGTCACCACAAATTGTGTTAGTTGGAGCCATGGACAGTTTTGAATATTAAGTCACAGTGAGATTCAGCCACCAACTAAGTAAAGGGTAATAAAAGCTAGCTCAGGCTTCAGTCACCCAAATCTGTTTTAAAAGAACACGCCATGGGCCCGTCGAGTGGTGCACTGGTTAAGAGTTGGCTTGGGAGTGCCAGCTCTGAGCAGCAGGACCCTGGTTCGGCTCCCACATGAAGGCCAGTGATGCTGCGCCCTCTACAGCTAAGATGGTGAACAACAGCTCGACCTGGAGCTGGGCTGCTATGAGTTGCTGGCGCCGGCGTAGGCTGCAGTGAGCTGCCATAAGCTACCGTGAGTGGCTGGCAGCCAGTGTGAGCTGCTGTGAGTCGCCCTGAGCGGCCGTCCAATGGCTGGTGAGCAACTGCCTCACCTGGGAAGAGCGCAATGATAATACCAACATGGGCCAGTGAAGCAACATCCTCCACAACTAGACTGAAGAACAAAAGGACAGCAACTTGTCTGTTCCCCTTCCCCGATTCCTCAACGCTGTTCCCCTCCCCCAATTACCCAATAAAATCTTTAAAAAAAAAAAAAAGAGTAAAAAAAAGAACACCACTTTGTATTTTGTAAGCAGCAACCCAGGAAAGGCTTTCTCATCTATTTACAACAAACAACAGGAAAAGCTCACTTATAATTGAAAATTATGGAATATAAGGTGACCCCTCCCACTTGATTTTAATGCAAAAAAAAAAGTTCATAAAGCTAAAACAAAACAAAACAACCAAACAACCAACCAGCAACTCAGAGCCAAATTACTGAGGCCTAGAAACTTCAGTCTGTTGCAAACTCTGAAAATCTGTTGTCAGGTTACCAGATATGCAATTATATATAGATGGTCACAGATTATAGCTAATGAGATAAATTACAGGATTTTCAATTACAACAGGTAGGAAAGAAAGGAAAATAAATTATAGTATAGTTCCTTATAAGAGCTTCAGCCACAGGCATCGCTACTATAGAGTAAATCAGGAGAATCAATTTAAAAGCCGAGCCTGCTGCAAGTTTGTGCCTGGCAATGGCTCTGTACGCAATAACCTACAATCTAATTAACTTGGAAATAAATTATCCAATCTAAGCTGCATTAAATTCTTTTTATAAACAGTTCAATAAATTGCCTAACTTCCTTCCTGTTATAAAAATGTCCCTGTCCTTGGACTCCTTGGATAGCATAGCACAGATAATCTGTGATTTTAGAATCATTCTAGACAGGAGTTAAGTTGGTGCTATATATAATTAATATTGTACTTGATTTTTAACAGCATCATTATTTAACTTAGTATTTTTGAGGCAATTTTTTTGCAATGGCTGAAATGGACCTTCAAATAAAAAATTAAAAAAAAGAATCAATACTTTACTAAAATGTTGAGACACTGTATGGATAGTTTTACCCACAGGAAGTTCAGCCAAGCCTCTCTCTTATCCCTGAGCCCCAGATATAGTTTAAATTCAAGACCCATGTCACTTTCATGTGATGGCTGATGAGAACTTCTGCAGTGGCTAAGGCCACCGAACCGCTTACATTCTAGGCACAGAAATATGAAGAAAGCATGGTGTTTGATGTTAAGAAAATAAGACAAGTAGACAGAAAAGTGTAACAGATGCCAGAGGCATTACGCACCTTGAGGGTTCATAGAAAAGAAGGGTCAAAACCGCTGGGCGTATTTAGAAAAGAATGTGATCTGGCATTAAGGATGGGTTTCCCCAGCTGAGGTGGCAGGAAAGAGCATTTCCTGCAGAGGGAACAGCGCTGCCAGGAAGGGTGTCCTGAGTCACACAGAATAGTGGACAATGCCGAATGTTCTTGTGTGTTTCAGCACTTCAGCTCACAAGCATTCTAGTAGACACAAAAGCCTTAACTCAGAAGAGCTGAAAATTCCCACCCTCTCCTTGTCTTCCAGCTAGGTTAGGGATAAAAAGCTGGCATGAGATTTGATTGAGAAGGGCGCATAGTCTACTGGTTCAAATAGCCAACAGAAAGAACTAAAGAGAGCATATATTGACAACTGTCCATCCATCAATCCACTGAGCAAGTATTTCCTGAGCACCCACTATGTTCCAGGCAATGCACTGGCAGTACGGTCACAATTATAAACAAGGTCATCTCTCCTACAACCCCAAATCTGCAGGGACTCCATGCTTATTTTGCCACACACCTTGGCCTCATGCTAATGACCTCAACTTGACTCTCTTCCCTGGTTCACCTCATCACTCAGAACCATTTCATTTCTAACATAGGAATCTGCATGTCCTATCCAAACACAACTCCCCATCCTGTTTTTTATCACTTCCTCTTGAACACGCCCATCATGACTTCACACTTCCCAGTCTCAAGTCATAAGGTATTAATATCTACGTACCCAGATTACCTGGCTGCCCATTTCCATAACATCCCTAGTGGTTCCCTAACTTCCTTCGATTTGTCTGTCTTTTCTGCTGCATTAACCTTCTCAATTCCTAATTTTAGGCAACCTGTACCACCTCTGCCTCTAGGGATTGGAGAGAAGGCATGGGTAGCAATGACTCACTTTAAAATCACACTATCCAACTTTAGCCAGGACGTAATTTCCGTTTATTATCTTGAATAACTCCTGTGTCATATTCCTATACACTAGTGCTTAGGATTCAGTGCCAGCTGCACGGCAGCCCCTCAAAATATGTTTGCTGCATATTTGAACAAATGAGCAAACAAATATACTTAAATGCCCATAGAAGATATTGCATTGTCAAAAGATTATTCAAGTCCTGTAACTCAACAACAACAAAAAACAACTAATCCAATAAAAAAACTGGCAAGGTTCTTGAATAGACATTTCTCTGAAGAAGCACAAATGGCCAATAAGCACATGAAAAGGTGCTCAACGTAGCAAATTATCAGGGGAATACAAATCAATGTCACCCCACACCCATCAGGAAGGCTACTATAAAAAACCAGCAAACAAGTGTTGGTGAGGTTGTGGAGAAGATGGAACCCTTGCCCACTGCTGGTGGAATGTAAAATGGTGCAGTTGCCATGAAAGTGTGGCAGTTCCTCAAAAAATGAGAAATAGAACAACCTTAGGATCCAGCAAGTCTCTTTCTGGGTGTTTATTCGAAAGGACTGAGGGCAGTGTCTCAAAGAGATATTTGAACACAGCAGCATTATCCGTAATAGGCCAAAGGTGGAAGGATCCCAAACACCCACTGATGGATGAATGGATAAAATGTGACACATAAATAACACGGCATAATAGTCAGCTTTAAAAAACGAAGGAAATTCTGACACAACGTGGATGAACCTTGCGGCATTCACTACGCTCAGTGAAATAAGCAGGTCACAAAAAGACCAACACCGTGATTCCACTTACATGAGGGATGTAGGGTGGCCAAACTCATAGAAACAGAATGGTACAGAGTTTCAGTTTCACGATATGAAAGAGTTCTGGAGATTGGTTATACCATAATGGAAAACAGTTAACATTACTGAGCTGTACACTAAAAAATGGTTAAGATGGTAATTTTATGTTATATATCTTTTACCACAATTTAAAAAAATATGTATTTAAATAATTAATGCCTGCATCTAATTAAAAATTACCCCAAATCTGGCAGACCTGCCTCTCTGATGAGCTGGGTAAGGTTAGGACATAAGTCCCTAGTTTATCATCCCCACCAATCGTCCACTCACTAGCAGCCCTGTCTCTACTAAACCCCGCTGAGAATTTTATCCTTCACTATAACTGACCCTGAGCAGAAATGAACTGGTCTACAGGTTTCTGGGACATAAAAACAAATAGAAAGGTCTTAAAGACCTTTAAGCTTTTTAACTTACTGTTTAACAATAACTTAGTTGAAACATAGAAGTATATCACTGGCACAACAAACATAATGCAAGAGTGAATAAATGAAGATTTAGCGTTTACTCTGCAAATTTCTGATTTCTACTTTAAACGGATGATAAACACCAGGTCACTCTGCTTACTGTCCACTCATTTGACTCACTGGGCAACGGAATCAAGTATTTTGGTTATAAGGCAAAAATGTCTTCCTCCCCATTTCTCCTGGTTTATACCCCATAATTTAATTCAAGTCAACAAAAGATTAAAATCTGTCAAAGACAATTACAATGAGTGTAACCAAAGCACAAGTATTCAATGGCGGACACCAGTGCGCAGCTTCTCAGTCGTGCCTTACACACATCCTTACTTGCACAAGTGTGTCCAGTGTGAAGATGTGCTCCCCACGAACATTGTAGAACTTGACCATGGCACTCTTCAGGAGAGGGCCATTGGGCAGGTCACCAAGCTGCGTTTGCCGATCCATTCCAGCGACTGCCAGGAGGTCTCCCTGCGTGCACCACTGGGCCACCACCTCTGCAATCACAAAGAGCACACGGTCAGCCTCAAGACAGGACCGCCCCTGAACTTTAAGAAGCTGAGCAAATGCAACAGTGGCTCTTTCCCCTTCATTCGTGAAGACATTAGCTATCCATTTCTCCGAAGACAATTCAGACTCTATTCAGAGCAGGTGCTTCTTACATAGATAGAAACAGCAGTTCCCCTGAAACATAACTAAATCAGGCAAAACCATACATGACAAAGCTGGCATGTTAAACATCTATCTCCAATACCAGCATTTCCATAATGGGACTTGCACAGATCTGAGACAGCAAGTAAGACGGTAAAACCCACGACTGGACGTCTTGGCTGCTTTTCTCACTGCTGTGTCCCGCAGCCCCAGGGGTGACTCAAAGAGGTAACAAATGCTACAAGTAAAAAGCAAATCAAGCGCAAAGCCCAAGTTTATACTCATTTGATTTCTGTGCACCACAGGACAGGTAATGGACACATCTGCCTCTGAAGGCCCTGAATTTTAGTCAACATTTGATGATGCTGTGGGGCTTAGAAAAGAAGTAAATACCGTATTTCCCCATGTATAAGACACGCTTTTTGGAAAAAATCTGGGGTCTAAAAACTGAGTGTGTCTTAACAGTGGTTGTAGATATTTTTTACTTGCATTTCCCGCTTTTTTCGTGCTTGTTTTTTGTGCTCATACACCACTGTATAAGACGCACCCAGTTTTTAAACCCCAAATTTTTCGGAAAAGGGTGCGTCTTATACATGGGGAAATACGGTACTTCAATTTGATGGTAGTGTTGTCAAATGTTCACACTGGAGATGTGACGTCTACCTACAAGTCATTCAGTGCTTACAAGAAATGGCTATTAAATGGTTTGTCTAACCCAGGGGTCAGCAAACTTTTGAGATGGAACCTACCCAAAGAGCTGCATGTGGTTCGCGAGCCACAGTTTGCCAACCCCTGGTCTAATCCAAATGAGAGCAAGTTACTTATTCTCGCTGGTAAAACAAGCTGTTAGTAATAATAATATTTACAGCACAATTTTGCTCCCTCAAGACCCTAAGATGTATGTGGCTTATCCAGAGATCCCTGCAATCTGGAACTCAGGGGCCCATTCTGCAGGGAGGCTGGACAGGGATGCATTTCAGAGCTGGGTCTAGAATTCAACAGCTCCTGAGCTCTGTCAGGTCACACGTGTTCTCGGCATCCCTCCTGTTCACATGCAGTACTGATGCTGACATGAACACCAGCCATTCTGAGGTCACTGAGGTTCTTAACATCCCTTGAAGACTGGACAGTGGCCCTTGAGACAAGATGGCTCTCGAGCTCCAAGGAAGCCAGAGCTTGCTCATCAAGTCAGCCACAGACAGAAACTAGAGAGACAGAGGAAGCAGGGGGCTGAGCGGAAGCAGCTGTAGACAAACATAAAGAAAAAACTCCACAACTTGAGAGAGTGAAAGCATCAAACAAAAGGAGCGTTTTTCCCCCTCCTTTTTCTTACAAGAGGATATGAATACGGTTGAGTGCAAACCATGAAATGAAAAATAACTTAAAAGAATCAAATGCATATCCTGGTGAATAAGATTTTTAAAAAGATGACAGGGAAGCTACAGCACTGCCGCATATACTAACTTGTGCTCTGGAGACCCAAATGCCTCCATCACTCTAGTTGAAGAGACCGGTCATAAACATGAAACTGAAATGACCTCTCAGGATGGTACCTTTGGAAACACAAGGAAGTCAAAAGGAGGAGCAGCTAACACTAACAGGTAAAAATAACAAAAAGATGGAGTCAACCGTCGTTTAGGGCAGAAAAATCACTGCAATTGTGCAGAAATATCATTGCAACTATGCAGAAATAGAGGACAGCACTCAATTCCCAATACTCCTCAGCTGACCCACTTCGGTCAAAACGTGGGCGAGTGAATACCTGCACCATTCTTGCTGTTGTGTATTTAGTTTAATAAGACTCTTTGAATTTTGTCACAAGCTGGTTTTTCCCAACAGAAAAGTGGTTGTTGCCCTGCAGGGTTGACCCACACACCGCCACATTCAGAGATGGCTCAAAGACAAGCCCTGAGCGCTCGAGGGGGTTCTGTTTACTAGGTGGGCGCTATCTGTATGGGTGAAGAATGAGCCCAAATATTTACAAGGAAACACCCAGGGATTTCTTTAATGCAGCTGAGGGATAGAGTGAAGAAATAAAACGGAGTCAGCATGGTCAAGCTGCTGAATTATTAAAATAAAGTGGGCTGGGGCATGAGGAAACGATTCTATTCTTGCTTTAACTACTCTGGGAATTTAAACTCCTGCAATTTCAAGTCCTGCATCAAGGCCTGGACATACCTCAAACCCTCAGATGCCATGTGAGTGACCTCAAGGAGAAACTGCTCAATTGTCCAGATCACTGGACATCTAAAGATGACCATTTTAGACCAATCCAGGGGCTAAGAAAGCAGGACTGATTCTTTTTACTATAAGAACCTTCTGTTTTTTTTTCTCCTAAATCAGGACATGAATTTGTAAACATGTACCACCCCCCACCCAGAAGGACATAAATTAATCACTGGAGACAACTTTAGCCCCTGACTTATCAGCCAGAGAAGGCACATGACAAACATTACTAACTGGCCTTAACTTTCATTAGTGTCCCATGTATTTTCCTTCCCACAATTTGCTGCCCTAGACATTTAAAGTCCTTTTCCCCTGTTTTGTCACCTCTCTAAAATGTATGTCCTTTTGTTAGCATGCTATGTAAGCCCAAGTTCTAACTACCCCTGTGAGTCGCTCATCTGAGTGCTTCCATGGTAAGCACAATGCTCGTGTTAACAAACTTCTGTTTGTTTTCTCTTGTCAGTCTGTCTCTCAGTCTAATTTACAGTCCCCAGATGGGTAGCAGGAAAGTTCTTCCTCCCCTACATCAAGAAAGAGTAAAAGTCACAACAAAGGGTAGAAGCCCTAAGTGAGCTAAACCAATTTACGATTCATTGTATGGTAGAAAGAGGCCCCCAAATTTGAGGTTCTCAAGAGATTTTTCTTCAGTGCAGAGCTTGCTCAGGAAATGTCTGCAAAGCAAAACCACCCCCGTCCCTCCACATATGAATCTGTGATGAAGATGAAGTGTGACAGGTGGTGGGGAAGAGGGCTGGTCACAGGGACCATGAGCTATCCGGCATCTAAGTTCTTTTGCACGTGACATAAATTACAGCATTGGTGATAAACTAAGGGATATCATGAGTCACCTTTCTTTACTGGAAAAGTTCTCTGATGGTACTTCTTTGAGACAAGTAACAGAGAAAGACTAAGTGGATCAGATAGGAGTTAGGACAAAACTCGAGTCAACAAATATCCCATTTGGGAGGGCTGCTTTGGGTCACCTCCTCCCCAAGTCACCTCTTCGGTGTTCTGAATCCTCTGCCGCCAACTTGGTGGGAATGTGTTAGAGGTGCCGCTCCAACACGATCTAGTCTGACAGAGAACAAAATAAAACATCCAGGGAATAAAAACTAAAGTTCCCATAGGTAGGTAAGATAGTGAAAAATTAGAAAAATTCACCCTATACAGAATAAAAAGGAACTAAGTGGTAACTGTGTTCTTTTCAGCCCTGATCAAATATTATACTTAGTAGAGAATGAAGTTCAGGATTGCAGAGCTAGAGTCAGGTTCTAATGAAATTAACGAACTTGGTTAAAGGGTTTGAAAATAGAATTTCTGAAGGGAAAAAATAGAGCTTGGATTACTAAATATATGGGAGAATTTATGATGACCATTCCTATATTTCGGCTCCATGAAAGACAGAAAATTCAGAAAAATCCCAAGGAACTAAAGTTTATCATCATCACAAAAAAACACTCAGCTCCTAACAGGGCCTATTTGTGGTGTGAACAGGGCTGTCTACACAGTCCATGACCCTCAGGAGTTTACAGGCTAAACAATTCCTTACAATTAGAGTTTTGAAACAGCAAAATGGAACACTCAAAGAGGGAGTATAACTTGCTTCTAAAAATATTCTCTAGTTTTAAAGTAAAATTAATAAGTGCTTGGGGGGAGGTGCTGTCAGGTATGACGCATTCCAGACAAGCAATGGTTGGCTATATGGATTTGACTCTCTCCTTCCCCGGGGCTCCTGAATTACTCAGCTTGTGGCCATGGCTCTCTGGTCTGATGGCCAGTTGCGAATGACAGTAGCAGCGGACCTGAAGGTTCTGGTTTGCCCCTCCCCTTCTCATTCAGATTATGGTCAGTCTCTGTAGGTCTCTGTAACACCGAGGACCAGAGGCAGCCCAGGAATTTCTACATTACACCATTTAGCCCTGAAGAGACAGAACTGTTTTTCCAAAAACACTCATTGGGGTCATGTCATGCCATTAGTCTTCTCAAACTGTAAAACTCAGAACACTCCCAATGCCCATGGACACCGGTTTTCTCCAGAGATAACAGCATTTCATAGCGGCTGTCAGGAAGGGATCAGCCCGTGACTGCTCTTCACATGAATGCCTCAGTCTGGCAACAGTGGAACCTCCGTAAGTCTGCCTAGGTAACTTTACTGCACAACACTCAGCTCCTTAACGAGCCTTAAAATGACAGGGGCTCCTGTGTAAAGGTGTCTCGTGCACCAGCTGCTGCTGTCCAATACTGTGCAGACCCAGGGCCAGCCAGAGGCAAACACACCACACACCCGAGAGGCCCATTCTTGTCGTCGTGGGAGAAGAGCAGGTGAAGGTGAAGACTGACTGTCAGAAATCCCTCCTCTAGGCAAGACCAGGTAGCAACTTGGCAGATAAGCAGAGGAGCGAGAAGAAATGACTTTTACTGACAGACTCCATTAAGCCCGGAAGAGGTCACTGCAGAGGACGAAATCAATAAATACCAGGTGTATGAGTGACACCTGGCCTGGAGGGCTGCTCCATGGGCCTGGGGTCACAGACAGCCCTCCGTACCTTTCAGCCCTGAGCGGATGACAGTAGGAGACAAGTCATCGTAGTTGTTCATCAGGCTGATGTCCCCCGAGGTGAAGCTGACGGTGAGCAGCGGCTTGATGTTCTGCACCGGGATGGGATATGCTGCTGGGCCATCTGTGGGGACAGAGGAGCTGAGTGAGAAAGTGGCAGCAAGCACGTGAGCCCAGTCCGGGCCCTTGACACTGCGATCCTGCAGAGCTGGAGAACTGCCCGGGAACGCTGACCCGACTCTGGGCGGGGACGTTACCAACTAGGCGACCCTCGACACCACCCAGGACCCAGGCAGTGAGGGTGCCCCCCAGAAGGCCTGGAATGAGAGGCAGGCCTGGGACAGAGTGGGGGTCCTGGGGCTCTGCTTTGTGTGTGGGAAATTGTGTGCAAAGTTGGTTAACTTGTAGCTAATGTGTTCTTTGATTCTAATGACATGTCAACGTAAATTATTTGACCGTCATATAACATACAGGGACGGTGGGAAGAGGGATGAAAATGTTTTCTTAACTCTGGCCCAACATACAAAGAAATATTGCTTTTCATCACTAAGTGCTCCTGTGTTGAATGTTATGGGAAATGAGTGGCCACAGCAGCCACCGTGAGTTCTTGGTTGAGTTTTGACCATTAGAGACCCCAAATCTGGGCAGAAGGCGGAGCTTGGACGTGGCTCCTAGGAATTCTGCTATGTGTGCAGTGCACAGTCAGCACAGAGAAAAGCCCGCTTTGTCCACTCAAAGGAATGCTCATCACAAGCTAAAGAAGGGGCCACCATGGACCACACTCTGGATTCCTCCACATGTTATTTCAAAAAGTAAGGGCCAGTCCCTCCCATGGGCCAGGGTGAATCAGGGCTCTCAGAGGGTTCCCTTGGGAGTCACACCCTCACCAAGCGCATCTCTGGCACCATCCGGCTGGGCCTGCCTGACATCCGCCCTCCACATGGACTCAGCCGCCTGCAGAGGACCCCCAGTTACTGCTGTCCCTTGCTTCACCCGAAGATGCTGCAGGTACTTCCCTGTGCATTCACACACCCTAGGCCACCAGGAAAAGCCTGCTCTATCGGAAAGGCAAACCCCCGTCATCCCCAAGTCAACCCACGGCTTCTGGGAAGGGCAACTGACTGCTTAGAGCAGCCCCAGGCACTGAATTCTGATCTTAGACTTCCTCTGGACTTGCTTCATAACCTCGGTCTCTGATCGCGTTTCTTCCAATAATAAGTGGGAGTAAGTAAATCTGCATTCAATCTAGTCAAGTTCTGTTTTAAAAGTACACTGAGCCCAACCACTGATTTCATTACTATGACGCTAAAGAAACGGTCCACGTTTCCCTCAGGCTGGGTCCTGCCAGGAAGTGCACGGTTACCTCACAAACGGATCTGTGGGCGCTAAAAACACTCTCCCTCAAGACCCACCAACCCTGAAACACTACCACTGGTCTTAGCTTTTTCTCATGTGTGAATATCATCTTCTCCAAAAACAAATAGGAAGAAAAACCCACACACAAGAAGTAAACATGTAGGTGTGTGTCTCTGGGAAGCACGGCATGTTACCATGTCTGGGACAGGAGGGAGAGGCCGAACGGGAGCAGTCCAAGTCCCGATGCGCAGGCGCTGACGGACGCGCTTTTAAAGCTTCCCCTGGACCAGCCCTTCACAGGATGGGCACGCCCCAGTCACAGGAGAGGGCAGGGATGGTCTAGCACGCACCCATCAGCCATGACGGGCACTCAGCACGCAGTGTGAGCACCGCGGCCCGGCTGAGGACAGGAACGTGCAGCAGTGTGATGGCTTCTAATCAGGGGCCATTCCTGCCGCTGTTTCCTAACATGACACCCTTTGTTTAAGAAAAGAGGTGGGTGCAGGGAACAGGACACTGGTGACGAGCAAGACCCTGAGTGGCCAGTGCTGAGCAATGACACGGCTGGTGGCCGCACCAACGTCACGGGCTTCTGCCTTCCTCTGGGTCTCACACACATTTGAGGGTAGGATACCCCACCAAGTCGGAAACAACCCTCCATTACTGGATGCCACTAAGCTGATGTAACATCTGGGGGGCTGTGGGGTGGGGGTGGGGAGGTGAGGAGCGGGTCCTTCTGAACTGAGAATGGGAAGGGCTTCTGCCTGAGATAAAAACAGGGGGTGGGCGTCGGCCCAATGCACTGGACTCCGCTCAGGGCAGAAGGGACCCTTTCCTCACACCACTCATGCTACGGGGCTTAACATCAGGGACGTGGAGCAGCCCATGAAGTTACAGGAACAGTACAGCATGTTCATCTTCAGCCCTCTCCATTCTCACTGCTCCCCAGGGACACAGAAAGAGTCCTAAGTCTTGTTTTCTATCTTGGGAAACGTAAGCTCATGGCGCTTCATCAGCCTGCCCAGTGATAGTGAGAAAATGGACAGGCAGAGGACAGACAGTGAAATCAACAAGAGACTAGCCAGACCAGCCTTGCATTCTGGTCCGCGAACTCTTCCCGGAAAATCAGGGTCTGAGCCTGTGGAGGCCTCGGCCCTCCTTTCTCTGAAGGGGCTCATCCCCCATATACACTTGTCCCCGCGGAGCAGCGAGCTACCTTGGGGTGGGGAGTAGTCGTCGGAGTCCGTGTCGCTCTCACTGCTGTCCTCCACCAGGAAGGTGGGGTAGTTCCAGGACATGCTGAGGATGCCGTCGGACTCATGCAGGAGGACGTGGGCCAGCATCCTGCCATGGCAGTCCATGACGATCACCTGGCCGTCCGCCGTGCCAAACAGCACCTGCAAAGCAAGGACCAGACCACTGACGGATGGGGGAGGCCACGGGTCCGGCCAACCTCATCGCCTCAACTTGCTTAGGAGGACAAAATACATTTAGAGCTAAAAACCAGACTAGTTAACTAACTGAGGGGCTACACAAAGCATTAAGTAGGAATTTAGCTGGTTGTTACTGCAAGGATTTCAGTCCTCTAATACGGAAACGTGACTAACAGCACAATATATTCGTTATGTTGTGTGTACATTTTGAAATAATATAAGCAAATTCAGTTTAACTTTTGTGGATTGTTTTTGCTTTCTTGTTTTGTTTATTTGGGTTGGAGGAGGAGAGTTAGGAAGTGGATAATATTCATTTATTTTTCTAGAAATTCTAGTTAAGAATTTCTCAAATTTAAAAGAAAAAACTTGGGTGTATGTTAGAATAAATCAATCATCCATGGATGTTTCAAGAGAAAATACATTTGGTTATGTAAGCATGTTATCCAACCTTATTTGGAAAAGAAGATGCTCCTGAAATAGTTTGTCTAATGTTTTATTTCACTGTGAATAAGAATGGCATTAATGTATTAATTAATAATTGATGTTATACTGTACTAATGGCATTAATGTATTCATTGAGTGCTGACTTTGTGCTAAGCACTACACTAAAAGCTGTGCCTCATTAATTGCCAAAATAATTCTGTGAGTTAAGTACCAGCACAGCTGGGATGATGCTCGGATGGGCCGTCACAGTGGTATGCTGAGGGCTGTCCCTGGGGAAGTCCCCGCATGTCCCCAGGTCTGGGAGCACACACTGAGGACCGTGTTGGGAACGCGGGCAGGCACGCAGCAAAGGAAGGCAACACAGAAGCATCTCGTAGCCACTGGAAGCTCCCTGACAAGCTGTCATCCAGGCAGGCGTCCCCATGGCGAACCCTGGGGCCCAGGAAGCAGGACCCTCCACAGGGAGCCACAGTGGGCCTTCCAGTCTCTGCGACTGTGGCCATTAAAACTTCCTATCGTTTGTGTCTAATGACATCCATCTCCCCCTGAGCAACTCATGTGACAACCATGCCATCTATTTCCATTTCACAGAAGCAGAAACCACCTGGGAGAGGTCAAGTAAGTTGACAAAGTTGTTCAGTGGTCAAGCCAGGGCTACTGACTAGAAAGACCAGGGTTTACACAACGGGAAAGTTACTTAAGGCTTTTTACGTCCTTGCCTCTTTCTGCTTTTAAGATTTTGACAGTAAGCTTGGGGGCAAAGACTGTCCACAGCTGAACCCCTGGCACCTAAAAGAGCTCTGAGTACACAGTGGCACACACGAAGTATTTGTTGTTCAATGAATGAATTAAAGCCAATGACAATCAAAAGGCAATTTTAGGACATAAATGCTGATGATTAAAACAGATTAGCTGCAAGGGAAGACATATTTCATTTTAGTAGTAATAAGCGCACAGAATTTACAGAGCTGTTAGAATAAATCAATTTCTATCAAATATTCCTTTAGATCTGATCAACATTTTAATGACTGAAAACTGAAAAGAAAAAAGGCTAAATCATTTTCCCCCAGGGGCAGTGATGAATTTGTCAGTGCATGCTGCTTAAAGGAAAAATAGACAAAACTAACAGAACACAATGAAAATCATTTTAGGAAAAGCTGAGTTTTTGGCTGCCAAGAGTGAAAATAAGTATGGACGGCACGTCTGCAAGGACCTCGGGGACCAGGCACAGGGCTGGAGACCCTGGAGGGGGTCCAGAAAGCTCCAGAAAGGCAGATGCTGAGTGTGTTGGTAAGCAGTTTTAAATGATGAGCAATATGGAACATGACTTCTTGTGACTTTAACTGAAACGTACAATTGACATATTTCAAAACAAAAAAGATGGGTCAGAACCCCACTGCAAGGCCCATGTCACAGAGAGCAGGAGAGCAGGCTTTTCTTCTCTGCCTTTCCGCCTTCTCACTCATTTGCTCTGCACCTTGGTGCTGGCTGAGGGGTGGGTCCCTTTATCACTTAGTGGCTTTTTGGTTTCGATAGTGATAGCTCATTTGAAGGTAACAACAGCAAACAATCATTCTTCACAAGGACTTGGGATTGATATATATCAATCCCAAACAAGTCCCCCCGCCCGTGCTGTGGGTTCTCACATCACCCCACATTGCAATTATCGCCACTCTCCTATCTTCACTGCTTGATTATCTGATTTCTGCCTGACTCCCACGCGGGACCGTAAGCTTTGGCGGCCTGGACCACGCTCCCACTATCTCCCCAGGGCCTGTCATATTAGATGACACATGGCAGTAAGTATTTGTGAAGTGAGGGAGGAAATGATGCTGCACTGAGGCATCTTTGCAATAACACTCACATTTTCCCATTTTAGAGAAACAGATACCAGACGATAGAACAGATGCCTAATTCCTGAATAGAGGACCAATGTGACTTAATGAATTATCAGAGCTCAACATTACAGTCAAGTAAAACAGAGCAGAAAACCAGCCCCCCAATTCCCCCCCCCCATTAGTCTGCTGCAACCACAGCTTTCTTGGGAAGATAATGCGCTGTTAAGATGGGAGACAAGGAAAAAGCAGCCCCAACGGTCGAGTTGTCAAGCAATGATGGAAGAAGTGACTCTGTTTTGGAACAAGAACGTCACAGATAACTGAAGAATCTGATACAACACAAAATCAGATTTTAAAAAATCTGTTACAAGTTCTTTTCATGCCTAATTACTTCCAATGAGATAAGGCTTATGTGAGCCAAGGACTCCAAGAGAATAAGACAGACAAGTCTAATAATAATGAGTACTCACAGGGGCAAATGCATCAGTCTCTGCCACTTTTCCCCCCTAATTCGGGTGCTCTGGGTAGAGTGGTGCCAGCTCCCCCCTCCTGGGCGGTCTCCTCTCATAGGCTTGGCCCGAGGTGCCCTTCTCTCTCTAGGAATCAGGGTCATGTCAAGGACCCCATTCATGTCAGCTCCCTGCCCAGACCTCTCCCTAAGCTCAGGACTCACATCCAACTGCCTACCTGCCACCTACCTACCCCTGGATGTGTCAAAGGACCTTCAGGGTCAACATGGCCCAGGTGAAATGTACAATCTCGTCCTTCCCCAACCAACTGACACACACGACCAGGTCGTCTTACAGCATGGTGGCTCCGTCTCATCTCCGATGTCCAGCTTCGACGTCACGTGTGAAAGCTTTTGGGACCCTCCACACAGAATTAGCCTCACTCTAACCATGGATCCCACAGCCCTCTGAACTTCACTCTGTTTTGCATGTCTGTCTTTCCCATGACATTGTGAGCTTCTCATGGGCAGGTCTGCACCAAGATTTTCACATGCTGCCTGTCACGAGTGGGTGCTCAGTAACTATTAGTAAATCAGTTTCTGCCCAAAGCTTTGGCCTTTGCCCAGGTTTTCCTACAAATGAAGGAAGAACTTCCTGAATTTCTTCTTTAGGCTATAAACCAGTGCTCAAATCCTCCTACAAAACTGGTCTCTAAAATACTTCCAATTACACATTGATGGTGAAATGATGTAAATTTCTGTCTCATATTTTTCCTGCTGTTTCTTCTGTTGGGCTGCAGGCTTCACGTATGGACTAAGGACAGTGCTCTCTGCAATGTGAACACCAAGCACCAAATTAGGCAGGAGGAACCTGAGGGTCCTCAGGTCAAAGCAGTTCAACGGCTATCTCCCATTGCAGGGCATTTTTTCACATCAATGAAAATTTTAAATAATGATTTTATTTATATATATATATATATATATATATATATATAAATAAAATCTCTCCATTTCAATGTATTTGATTCTAAACTATTTTTAGATATATTTAAAAATATAACACAATTATTATCAGTAATTTAAAATGACTCTAGCTATAAACCTAAGGGGGTAAGAAGAGGCTATAAAATCATTCGAAAGACTTATGTGTTGGAAGCAGTGATGCTATCTCATCGGTACCTTGGCCTTTGGACACTGGTCCTCATCTAAATTCTTGAATAAAGACCATATGTCAGTTACGGAAATGCTCGCTTCTACAAATGTTCGCCTCTTGCCGTAGAGTTTAACTCGTAGTACTGGAACTGGTTCCAGAGGCATTGACTTTCCCCCATTTATTTGCTTTTGTGATTTAAAGCTAGGGGAGCAGAAAACAGTGATTACAAATGCCTACTTAGTAACCTCAGCCCTATTGGTGGCAAACGTTAAATGTGCCACTGAGGACAGGGAGATGAAGGGACGGGCTGTGAGGTACCTTTGCTCTTTACAAGGAAACTTCTGTTCTGAGCTATCTCTGGAGTAAAACTTTTTTTTTTTTTTTTTAAGGCCTCCCTGTTGGGTTTCAGGACACTAGCCTTCAAATGTGCTTCAAGGCCAGATACGAACATTTTGCAACTAAAGAAACAGTCCCTGAAATCAGAGAGTTGTAAATTACAGAACTGCTCAATTGATTAACAGACTATTTCCTGGTTTAAAAAAAAATGTAATTTTACAGTTGACTTTAACAATCATTTCTAAGACAGACATTTTAAGACTTATTGTGATAAATATAGGAACGACATCTCACCCCAAGTATCTATAATAAAACACTTGCAACTTTGGCTAAACATGTAATTTTGAAGTCGTTTCATCTCTTCACTGCAGAAAAGGCTGCTTATAAACTAACCCATGAAGATGAGACACTGTCCTATGTCTATAGATTTTCAGAGTATGCTAAATACTTCCCATGTGGAACATTCTTTCCCAAATCTTTCAGGCTCCATTTTTAAGTTTATTCACCCTTCTAAGATACTCACATGTGATTTCTGGGGATAGAGCTGGTCTGACTACAGGGCTAACTAAAGTTCACATTTAACTAGACTATCTCCAGAGGGTTACACAAGTAACCGGGAAGACCAGTTCACTCAGGGGGATGGGAACGGGTGGCTGGGGAAGTGGAAGAAAGGGGCCTTTTCATCATGTATCCTCCTGAACAATAAGAATTTTATACCATGTGGATATATTATTAAAAATATATA